TTGCAAACACTGCGTTAGTACCAACATTTTGGTCTCCTCTTCTTTTATATGTAAAAACTGCCTTTCTACTGTAGCCAAAGGGCTCTTCTTAGGTGTCACCTTCTGCGTGCTCAGGAAGGAGATGCTTTCTTGGGTGTTCCTTTTCACAACATAAAAGACAAACCCCATGTGTGTCCCACATGCAGGTGAAGGGGCAGAGAGCCCAGCTCTGTCCAAAGGGCTGGAGGCAGCTGTGGTCGTGTTGGCAGGTTGGTCACAGGATGTGAGGTACAGGAGTACGCAGGAGGTGTTCCAAAGATTGGGAAGAAGTGTAAGTAAACCCAAGAAGTCCCCTCTTATAAATCAAATCAGTGCTTGGCTGTGGAGAGGGCAAAAATCAGGCAAACCCAAGGCTGTCCTATGACCAGCCTCAAAAAACAGCAGCCAGAAGCTGCCCTTGAGAGCGCCTTTATCTCCAGAGGTTGCACAGAGTCAGTGGGATGGAGAGCCTGCTTGGTTTCATACTTTCTTTACTCTCTTTATTCTTTGTTTTCTGATGATAAAGGAGCTTTATGTGGATGTTGCAGGAAAGGAATTGATGAGTCATAAGGTTTACAACTGCATTTCCCCCTGGCTCTATTTTTTCCTGATGGTCCCATCTCCTTCCTTTCTACCTTTCCTCTCCTCTGCTGGCGCAGCAGGACGTGCGGTGCCTTTAAGAAGTGTTTTGTCAGAGAACTAATTCCTGAGCTTTGGCATATGTCGAGGCATGCCCTCAGTTTTGTGGTGTGTTTTATGAAAAACTAAAATGCGTTTGTCTAGGGAGGGTTTTAACTCCTTTCTGCCATAGATGGGCTTAACCTTTCTGTTCTTTGCTCACAGAGCAGACACCACTCAGCCTCACCAGGGGAGTTCTGCTCTCTTCTCCAAGAGAGATGGGGAGACAAAGTGAAATAGGGGGCTTTTTTTTCTTTTTTTTTTTTTTCCAATTAAAATTTTTATTTATTGAGTTGTTCTTCTGCATGGCAAGTTCTTTTACATGGCAAGCCAAGATGGCAAACTCTCTTGCTGTTTATACTGTCTCCCTGGCACTGATATCGCTGCAGTGCTCACCTGCAGTTGCAGCAGCAGAGTGGTGTGGCCTAAAACACGTTGGCCCACAGCAGTCACAGCACTGGTAGCTTTATTATAAATTTCTTATGTTGTGAATTTCTTAATGGTCTTTCCCCCTCCCATCATGGTCAAAAAGAAACTTGTAAGAAGACAATACAATTATACTGTAAAAATTAGCTTATCATTACATAAATAAAATGTAGGGGGGGTTCTCTTTATTTTCCTTTTTGTTTGTTTGTTGGTGTTGATGTTTTTTTTTTAGCAAATCTCATTCTTTTAAACCATGTGTGTACTTGGAGAGGTGTGCCTGGTTCTTTTTTAACATTTGCTAGGGACAGCAATATGATCTTAAAACCACAGCTCCCAGGGAGAGAGAATACTGCAGACGTTGCAGGCGGACCAGAAGGTGACTGCGGAGTTAGCCTTGTTTTAAAAGCCGTGTTTGCTGCGAAGTCCTGGAGTTGTAGGCTAACATTGTCTTCTAAAAACAGCATAAATCCTCTTGGACTCCCAGCCTACATGTTGTTTCAGGCCTCGAGGTAGAAAGCCCAGGTGAGCAGAAATTCCCGGCATCGTGGCGGCTCCGGGACTTGCCGTGCGGTCCCCACAGACGAAAGAAGGGTGTCTAGTAGAGACAGGTTTGGTTTTATGAGGAGAGATGTTGGAGGGGAAGGGAGGGAGCAGGAGTTAGGATGTGTCTTCCCCACCGAGGTGGTTGTGTGGCTCTGGTTCAGTCCCTTAACCGTGGAGCTGAGGGAAGTGGTAGAATTAGCAGTGGGTACGGCTTGCTGGGTTCAAGTGAACTGAGGTAACGCTGCTCTCCAGTCTCAGCTCTGTGACTGAGCTGAGTGCAGTTGTTCTATTTAAGAAGCTCGTGTTGAGCCTACAGGAAGGCTTCCCATTACTCCCTTTCCTCCCGGCAGCATCCACTTGGTGTATTGTGCTGGCACAGGAGGCAGAGGCCCTGGGACATCGTGGGGTGGCCTGGGCAAGTCACAGCTCCTTCCTCTTCTTCAATCTTAAAGCTGAAGTGCAGATCACCTCTTTTTCCCTTCATTCCCAAGGGCTGCTCAGGCAGAGGTAATGCCGGGCAGTCAAGGGTGGCCTTGGACGCACAGCTCAAGGAAAACGTGAAGTATTACCCTGCAATTATGGGTGGAGGCAACACGTGTTGAAAATGATTTATTTTATCATAAATCAACATTTGATCAGGTGAAATCGCCGAAAGGAGAACGAAGTGCAGAGAAAGCCTGTTACCTCAAGCAGGAATTTTTCAAGCTGCTGGAATGTTGGCTCTCCCATGTATTTGCATGCATAGGCTCTGAATCTAGTCCTGGTTACTGAGATGGATGGGTGGCATAAAAATAGACTGACTTCTATAGGTGTAATATTTCACCATACAGAAGGAAAGAGATCTTTTTTTTTCCCCTCCTCTTCTCTTGGGTTCAGCATTTTATGAAGAAAGCAAAGAACTGCTTTTTGCAGCGTTGTCTGGCGTATCCAAGGCTGACACAGCAGCTCCTTGCATTTAGTCAATTAGCTAGTTGAGGATTTTAGGGGAAAAAGCAGATGAAACATTAGTAGGTGGATGCTGACATACTGGCACCATCAGGATACAGTTTGTAAAGTATCTGGTGCTGCCAAGGAATCAAAGAGTTAAAAATTCCCAGGGTTTAATCCAGTATAGTGACATTTTGCAAGGCCTATCAAATTCATGGAAAGCGAGAAGCAGAAAAGCAACCGAGCTAGGTAGAAAATGAAATTAGGTGGCATTATATTGCCACGGGTTTATCTAACTGGTTATTTCACTTAGGAGGGCAGACACCAATTTTATCTGAGCCCTCAGCAGGAGCTCAGCCCAAGTTGTGCTCCCTGGCAGTGTTATCCACAGAAATGGAGTGCCCTTCACTGGATTTGAACAGGGCAGTGTTTTGCTGGGGCTGTGCTTGGGCCCTGATTTGTATGCTGTAGGAGCCATCTCATTCCTTAGAATACAGCCATATATTGTTGTGTTTGTTTTCCTTCTGCTGCTGTGTGCAGAGTGGATTGTTTGCGTGTTTGTTTGTTTGAAGGATTTAAACATCTGGAAGAGACCACAGATAGAAATGTCTTTGTACATGGGTTAGACATGGAGCTGCAGGTCCCTTACAAAGTGAGATGTTATGTGGCATCTAGAGTGATGGTTGTTTGTGAACTTGAGAGTTATACGTGAGGATTTGGGTGTGGGAAGGGCAGTCAATATAACGCTAATCCAAGCAGCTGGATAAAACCGCTACTGCTAAAACCAGCATGAGGTAAAAATGGATTTATTTCCCTAGGTAGTTCTGCAGCTGGTTCACGTGGAGGTAATATCAAATACAAACTTTGGAAGTGAATATTTATATGCAGTAATGTTACCTGAGTTTGGGTGAACAGTGAGATAAATTGCTTTTTACTAAAATATGTCAGTAAATGATGCACATAAGGCACAGCTCTCTGTGAGAAATTCAGGTTTGCCATATTATTTGGACACCAGCAAGTGGAATTATAGCCTGAATCTGGACAATAGGTTATCACAGATGAAAAGAGTAAGTAGAAAGTAGGAAGAAAAAAGAAAAAGAAAGAATAAGTTCTATATTGCAGCCCCTTTGCAGTGAGTGGGAGGTTACTCTGCAAGGAGCCTTCGTGGCTTTTACCAGACTATTTGCAGACCAATGCCGTAGCAACAGAAAGCAGTTCTTACACTCTGGCTCAGTCTATTGCAAACAATACCTTTTCTGAGAAAGCTAATCACTATTTTGTTACATTACTTCCCAGCAGATGAGCCAGGCACTCCTGAATTTAAAACAGAACTGCCAGTGAGTGACAGCGAGCTAAGCATGGGCTGGAGTCTTGTAGCAGCATATCCTTCAGCTGACTGCTGCAGTCAGGGAGAGAAAGGAGATTTTTCCTTTGAAGATAAGACACCTGGGGCTTTTGTAGAAACGAAGTATGCCCCGAGTCGTGCAGCTGTTATCTCAATTAAAAAAAAAAAAAAAAAAAAAAAAAGGCAGAGAAAGACAAAGCATTTGGCTCTCCTGTGCACCACCAAATATTCCCAAACCAGCCCTTTTCACTCCATAGTCGTGCTGCTTGTGAACCCTTTGCCGTCCTGTGGCTTTGTGGCACCGTGAGGAGGAGCAGCCTGGGAGGCAGCTGAGTGTGTACGATGAAGGGAGGGCGTGGATGTGTCTGTGTGAGCGTGTGTGTAGTGTCGTAACGTGGCCAGGGCACAGCCAGTTATGAAACTTTCCAATAGTCTCAGTGCGTCAGTATTGGTTGCTTGGGGTTTAGTTGCTTTGCTTTTTTCTTTTGTTTGGGTTTTTTTTTTTCGTTTTTTTTTTTTTTCCTGTCCATTGCCCTCCAGTTTCATTTCCATTTATGAGTGCAGAGACAGAGAGAGGGGGAGAGACTGGGAAATGCCCTGAGAGCCCCCGAAGCCGCTGGAGGAGCCGAGCGGTTCCCATGACAGGTGGAGCACGGCACCGCGGCACTGAGCGAGATTCCCGGGAAGTGGTGCCCGGGCTCAGGGGGAGGGGAAGCCCTCACACTCGGGGCAGCAAGGGGCCCCTTCCAAGTGCTGCAGCAGCAGCCGCCAGAAGTTTGACTTTTATTTTTTTGAAAGGACTGGAGAAAATTATTAACCACAGTTGATGACGTCAGAGTTGATCTGATTAAAGGTTTGTTTTCTTGCTGGCAGAGGTGTGCTCCGTAGAGACCGGTTCTCTCTTCTTTTTTTTTTAAGTTTCTTTTTTGAACAGCAGACGGAGGGAGCTGCCCGCACTGCCGCTGCTGCCGCTGCCCCACCGCGCGTGTGTGTGTGTAAACAGGATGGTGTATCTGTAGCCGCCACGCGCAAACACACATTTGACCATGAGGACTCTTCGCAGGTTGAAGTTCATGAGTTCGCCCAGCCTCAGTGATCTGGGCAAGAGAGAGCAGGCAGCCTTGGATGAGCGGGGGACCCAGCAGCGCCGGGCCTGCTCCAACGCTACCTGGAACAGGTAAGGGCTCGCTCCACGTGCCGGCTCCCCGCAGCCCTCCCCGCGCTCCCGCCGGGATTAACGTGCCGGTGTCCGCTCGGGTGTCCGCTCTGCTGGCTCCCAGGCTGGAATGCCTGGCTCCCATCCCAGCCTCGGCGTGGAGCGCCGTTCCCGTGCAGGTGGAAGCGGGAGCGGCGCTTTCCCCCGTCGCTGCCGACCTTTCTCTGAAGGCTGACAGCAAAGAGCCTTCCCTGCAGATGGCTCAGCCTTCCTCCTGACACACAGAGACTTGTTTCACGGGGCCCGGCTGCAAATATGACTTTGTGTCTATCTAGATACTCTCATTCAAGCTTTATTTTAGTTTTATTTTAGTTTGGTCTTTTTGAAAATTACACACAGCTATTAAAATACGTTGTTGTTATCTATATGTGTAACTATATTGCCGGTTGTTGATACAGATATGACAAAGTCTACTCAATTTACTCCCATTATTACAAATAATAATACTTACTCTGTATGTGTGTATGTGCACACGCAAGCACCCGCACTTTGGACAGGGAAAAGTAAACCCTGCTTGTTTCCTTTATTGTGTTTATACATTCTATGACTGTTTTACAAGAAAACCCATACAAACATTTTGTAGTGAATGGGAATTATTCAGAAAGCATCTTAATGACTGTCTTAGTGACAGTCCTAGAAGACAAACATGAGTCTCTAAGTTGGTAGGAATTTAATTCTCAAGTCACTTTTGGAAATGAAATGTCATCTCCTGGGTCACAGCTTGGAAAGTGTCATTTGTAATGTTTTATAATTGTATGGCGGTACAAGTGTAGGAAGAAAAATACCAGTGGACTATAAACACATTTGTTAAAGGTAGTTCAGTTTTGAGAGAAATGAACTATATAAAATACCACATCTTCTGTCCTTCTCACCTCTTCATTTGTGGTTTTATGTCAGCATCAAGAATTAGTTGTTGAATGGCAGCAGAGCACTGAGCGCTGAAACTGTGCTGGTCACAAAGGAGACTGAGCTTCTGCTCAAAGATCATGCTGTTTGTGTGACCCTGGGTTGCACCCAAGATCTGGATGGATAGTGGTGGTAATTAAAGGGTAGACTGGGCAACCTTTGTGCCAGTTGGACTTTATTTGGCCAGCAGCCTCACAGGAAGCAGCAGGGAGTAATATACTCCTTGGTGTGAATCAAGGTGACAGTCCCCACAGCCCTTTTCTGATGGTGTGCTGACAGCTTTTGTTGGCAGGGATTAGCTTTTCCAGGTCCTGCTTCTGGGGAGGGAGCTGTGGAGGCAGATGTGAATGGGGAGCAGGTCAGGCACCAGGCTGGCTGGGAGGGGGAGACTTGCAGGCACAGGGGCTGCTGATACTCAAACCCAGAGGATTTTCCTAACTGAGATGGAGCAAGAGTTTGTTACTTCTAATTTGGACAGGACAGGTATAACTCTAGCCAGAAGTGTCATTGAACTAGACATGTGCATGCTTTGTCCAAACAATTAAACAACTGTCCCACCACCTGTTCCTGGAATAGGTGTCTGCCAGTCATCCTGTCCCTGCTTTGCGTGGATTCAGACCATGTTTTCCTGCCCTGGGTTGCCTTTTCCCTGATTGCTGGCCTGTTTGGTGGCACGTGCCTCCAAAACGCCCTGGGAGCACTGGCAGGGCTGTTGTGTGGTGTCAGGTCAAGTGGGCACCGTGTGCCTGCGCTAAGAGCTGCCTAAAGCTGTGGCAAGTACTGCAGATTACAAGCCACAGGCAAAAGGAAGACACCTTATTTCTTATTTAACAGTGCAAGGCTTTCTCTTGATTGAGAGTGAGGGTAATGCTTCTTTCAGGTGCAGAAAGGCTTGTATCCCCTGTTGGTTTTAAGAAACTCAGGGTAGTCTACAGGCTGTAAAACTGCGGCTTTTTCCTCAGAAAAGCCAGGGCTTAAATGTGCTTGGATTAGTTGCATTAAGAAGTTATCCATTGTATCTTCTGCCTATCACCAGTGTGTGCTCCACTGAGGAGGGTGTGGTCTTGAGGGAGTGGATGTTCATCTCTCCTGGAGATGTCAGTGGGCATCTGAACTTGGACTCACCAGAAATCTCGTCCAGGTTTTTAAAATCTTGGGCTCTGGGGAAGATTTCTTTTTATTTTTCTGCTGCAAATTTAGAACAACCCAACAGAGAACTGGCATACCATCCTTCGGTTTACAGGGATATTTTTGCTTCCAAACAAAAGGATTGCCTGTGCTGTTTCATTCTGTGCAATATTGAGCATAAGAGCTTGCTGATCAAGAAGTCGAGGTGCACTGGCAGAGCGCTTCCCTCTCACCAAGCCTGGCTGTTCTATATTTAAATGTCTGCTGGTTTCTTGCCTAATGTTAGCAGCCTTTACCTGGGTGTGGCATGTGTGTATCTGCTTTTGAAAGAGGCTTTGAACCAAGCTCATCAAAACCGAGGTGGGGAGAGTTAGAGCAGAACCCCGCTTGGGCCTGGCCCTACACAAGTCTGCTTGTGTGAGGGACTCCGAGCTGAAAAGAGGATTTCTTGAGGCAGACCAAGGATGCTGCTCTAGCCATGCCAGGGGAAAGCTGAAAAGCTTCAAGCTGGAGTCATCCTGGTGGGGTCTGTTAGCAGCTCTGTCACTGTGGGGTCCTTCTGAGGAGGAAGTGCAGCTGCCCTTCTGCAGTGCCCTGGTGTGTGGCTGTGGTCTGGCTGCCCAGTGATGTCCCCTCCGCCACCTCCGCTCTGTTCAGACCAGTCTCAGCCTCAGACTGTTTATACCAGAGGGTTCCTGCTCCTCTCTGACACCAGGGGAGGACAGGCTGAAGGAGCCTGATGCCATGCTCAGCGTGCAGAGGTCACGCAGCACCGTGGAAGCAAGGAAGGTCTCTTCCTCCCTGATAACTTCCCTTCACCTCCAAACTAAAACTTCTCTTCGCTGAGATCAGAGGAAAATTGGTGGCCGAGCTGCTGTCTGCTGTTATGCAAATGAGGCTTTATATCATGGCTTTCTCTGAGCCTGCTTTCCCATGAACCCCAAAAGATCTGTGCAGCAGAGCATCGCCAGTGCACGTTAACTAGCAACCAACAGCAACATAGCGGAACAGTACGGTTTCCTTACAGCTCACAGAATTTGCATCGTATTAAGATAGTTCAGATTTTTTTTCACTAGCATTGTCTTCTGTTCTTCCCCCCTGCTTCTGCTTCAGGCAAAAAAAATGAGGGCTGAATGCTGACTAAACCAATTGGACTGAGAAAACCCGGGGTTTTAATCTTGAGCTTGCAAAGCCAAGGGGGGCCCTCTCAGGGCAAATAAAATCCGTCGCGAGGTTTTCGTTCTGGCTGAGCTCACACAGACTGCCTAATCAGGAGCTGATACTGTCTCAGTTGGGCTGTGGGAAAGCCTCTGGTCAAAGGCACTTAGATCCTTTCTGGTGTAAGAAAATGGGGAAAATCCACGGAAACATGAAGGAGTGGGAGACAGCAAAAAGAAGGCGAAGAAAACGCAGATGAGATGCCTGAGACGTTAGTGAGATCAGCAGTAAATCCAAGGAGACATATGGAATCACAGAGGGTTTTATGGTTAGGGATAATTTTTTATGGGGTTGTAATATGCACAATAACTTGCAGTAAAGTAATTTTTATAGTTATGCAAACCATATTTCATCTTCTAATTAAAAATTATTTTTTTTTCAGATCATAGGGAGGCTTTTCTAGTAGAGAAAATATTCCAGACCAGCATATTTATCTATGATTTCTACTACTAGGAAATTTTCTTTTTTTCCAATATTTAGTGGTTATTTAGAAATATTTTGAAATTTTACTGCCTGTCTGAGGATCACCCTTTTTTTTTCATGACCCCTTTATTTGGAATGTTTGACACAGTGTGCGCATGGGGGGCAGACAGGGCTTAACTGGGATGGGGAGGAGGAACAGGGCTGGTGAAGGGACTTCCCACTGGTCAAAGCACCACAGCACCACAGAGCATGTTCCAGCCTTGACTGCAGTAAGAATGGGGGTGATGATGGAGAATTGCTGCTCCCCATAGCCCTCCATAATTATTTATCTTTCCTTCAGTGCAGTTATAACTGGATGCCAAATTTTCCTTTGTCCTACAATCTCTAGAAATACTGAGTCTCAGTAACACCTCTGGGAAGTCCCTTCACCTGTCTGTCTCAGCTTCTTCATGTGTAAGACAAGTGTTCATAGTTGGTGAGTTAGTGAACTAATGCCTCCCAAACTCTTTGGAAAGGGAGTTTTGCAGACCAGCTTATTTCCAGTTGCATGATCCAGTGCAAAACTGAAGCCTATCCCTCTTTGCAGGCTGCTTTACCTTGGTAGAAATTCCAGGAACATAATAACTATCAGCTGGAAGCTTATTTGGAAAGGGTCAAAGCCTCATGGAAAGCCTGTGCAGTTGCAGCTGGACTAAAGCTGTGCTGAAAATGGACTCTTCCCAATTGGATTAGGCTAGTTCAGAGAAATTAGGTTTTCTTCTGTAGCAAGGGTGTCTTCAGGAAGGTTTTGATGCAAGTGTATCAGGTTAATTATTGTAAATTAGCTGCTCCTGTAACTGTCCAGAGGAAATGAGCCCCAAGTCATTCAGTCCCTTTTGAAAATGAAAATATTGTCTTTAACTGCCTGGTAGTCACAGGGTGTGATCATTCACACAGCATTGTTTTTGCTCCTGGATTTCACCTGGAGCTCTGGGAAGGGGAGAATTTGCAAACACTACATAAAAATCACCGTGGTATTTTCGCCCATGCTGTTTGCATACAAAGGCAGTGGCTGCTTTAGAGAGCTAAAATTACCTGTGTGCTGTGCATGAATGTCAACACAGGGCAATCCAGATGCTTTTCCCAGGAAATGTTGAGCTGGGAGGGCCGTGGCCACAGCTGAAGCACACAGGTCAGGATTTAGAGACTTATGAGTCTGGCTTTGGAGTTGTTCCTCATCTCTGTGACCAAACTGATTCTCACCTGGTGGAAAAGTGTATTTTAATCACTTCTTGGCTTCCAAATGTCAGCAAAAGAACATCAGTGAGGATCCAGCTCTGTGCTTTGGGAATTTACACCTTCCAGATCCCTTTGTGCTGAAGCAAAAGGTGGGGAAGGTCTGTGCTGAGAGTGCTGGAGCTGCCATTCCCCACATCCTGCACAGCTGAATAACGAGTCCTGGAGCTGCCTCCTTCTCTGGAGGATCAGGCAAATCTAGAATAAGTAGTCTTTCCAGAGAGGTGAAGTTTCTTAGGCTGCTGGCTTGATTTTTGTGGCTGTGAGTGCTGCCTTGGTTGTACATAGTTTTCTTTTGGCAATCTGTACCTGTTGTGGGATAGATAAGTACAATACATTGCTGGAGCCATCTGACATTTTGTTTCCCCACCAGAAAAAAATGGTCTTTTCGGTTTTCTGATCCTGTTTTCTCCTCCTAGAGCCAGCCTGCTCTGTACAGCTCTTTGGGCCCTGTTTTGTTTCGTGTGTTCTTGTGCACGTATTTACACACACAGCAACTACAGGGAAGGCGTTCAGAGTGATACCAGCGCACCCATTATTAACTTTCACACTGTAAAAGAGTTACAGAAGGGAGTTTACAAGGCATTTTCACTTCAGGTTAACTATTACAATGTAAGTTTAATTGCATTCATTATTGACTTAAGTCTCAGTGAAGAGTGGTCACAGACACAGTAAAGGCGATCCACCCACCTCAAGCATCCTGCAGGACTTCTGTTTGTAAGCAGCAGCTCAGATTTTCTTTACACCGAAAGGTTGTACTATTGTGACCAAACCCTTTTAAACAATCACTCACAGAAACCATAGAATTGCTTTGATTCAAGCAAGGGCTGGGGTTTTTATTAGCTTAAGGTAACTAAGAAGATTTGAGCCAACTTTTTAATATCTTGCCACCGAGGCCACCAACAGCATCCTGGTTATTCCAGTTCCTTTTTGTTGCCTCTTGGGGAAGTGGAAGGCCAGACCATGGTGGCATTCCCATGTCACCTGCAGCCAGGGACTGTAATCCTGCACCCTCCACACAAGCGCTGCTGTCTGCAATGGAAAGGAAGAGTCAACATAGTGAGGCCAAGACTTGTTTTCCAGACACTGTAAGGGAGATCCCAGGCAGGTTAAAAGATCACTGCTGGGATGTTTTATGCAGGCAATAAATTGAATCCTCACAATGTGTCCCCCTTAGTTCTTGTTTAAAAAGCTTGCTCTCTCTTATTTTTTTTTTTGAGGAATAATAATGGACCTGTTAAGCTGGAGAGAGAAAACCTCCCCCTTGCTCAGAAAGTAGTGCCAGAGAGAAAGAGAGAGAGCACGTTGGCTTTTGGGAGAGATATTTAGTCATTGTTCTCTGCAGAAGGCTGGCAGGGAACATTGCAAAGTTCATTTCCGAATCAGAGGAGCGTGTAAAGACTGCTTGTTTTATTCACTACATTAATCGTTCTTCCCATATTACTCATAATATTAAAACACCCAAGTCACTTCACTGTGTACCAGAGACATTTAGCTGCCAATTTTCAAATAATCGTAAATTGAGTGTGTCTGTTCGAGCCAGCCAAAATAAGCTGGGTGAGATCACGAGTGTGTGTCTGTGCCCGTGGGTGGAGGGGGAAAAGAGGGGCTGCTGTGGTGGGGGGAGTGTGTAAGGGAAACATCTTCAAGAGAGAGAAGAGGATAATGGTTCTTATTTTTATCTGCTTCTGGATTTCTCCACAGTGTATCATACCCTTCACCTGCCACTTTTAATTTCCTTTTTCCGCAGCTGAGCGTGGCAGAGCTTTTCTAACAGTGTGTACCTGCATTTTGAATCTCTGGGTGAATAGTGCCAGGCTTACCTCCCACCCCAGTCCTGTGCTCCCAGCAGGCACCGAAAGGGACTCTTTTACCTGGGAAGGTTTAGTGTGGGTGCTTGAGGGCCCCAGCCAGGCACACTCTGCTACCTCCTGGCACAGCTCCTGCAATGACATCCCCTTGCAGGGGGATCATCCCCCTGTGGCTGGATCTGGCCCTGGAGCTGACCCAGCCTTCCAGTGCCTGAAGGAAGCCCTATGGGAAAAATGGAGAGAGACTATTTACAAGGACATGTGGTGGCAGGACAAGGGGGAATGGCTTCAAACTGACAGAGAGTAGGGTTAGATTAGAAGTTAAGAAGAAATTCTTCCCTGTGAGGGCGGTGAGGCCCTGGCACAGGCTGCCCAGAGAAGCTGTGGCATCATCTTTACATTACACACAGACAGAAATAACTTCATTCCCACCACTGGCACTGACTGGGTCACTTCACTAAGAGCAGTCATGTTGGAATTCCTGTAGCAGTACCACGGGCAGTGGAGCAGATAAAAGCTGCTTTTTTTGTGTGTTAGTGTCAGGAAGCTATAAAAGCATTTGTGTGCATGTCAAATAAAGGCTGAGCTCACCCTGCAGAATGTTCTTAGTCACTGAAAGATGCTCCTTCTACCCCAGCTGAAACCTAAAAGACCTTAATCTTCTGGGGACTTCCATTCCATAGTTAAATGTGGTAGAAGTTGCTAAGCAGTTACAAGAGTGGAGGAGTGTTTGAGAAAAGGGGGTGAGCTGACAGATGGAGGGACTGTGTGAGTCTTCTTTCCTTCTGGAGTCAAAACTGTGAGGCTAAAAAAGGTGGCACTAGTTTGAGGAAGGACAATTCTCCTAGTGCTGGAACAGGTTTAGTCTTACTTTCCTCTGGCATTTCTTCACCTTTGTCCTCAGACCTAAGATCAGTGAATTAGGGTGATGAGTCACCACACTAATTGTTTTCAGTGTATTTCAGGAGCATTTCAGAGCTTCATTTTGAAGCACACAGTCATTTCAGTAATCCTTTGAGGTACAGTCTTGTTGAGGTCATGGCACCATTCATTGTCTCTGCTTCAGCATGTGAATTGCCAGGGACCTGCAGTACCTGGCTGGTTTTTGTCTCTCAGCATCCTGGAATTCATAGGGCGGGTGGCCAGAGACAGCGTTGGGTGTGTGGCTTTGTGTTGAGCTAGAGAGTTCTCTGGTCTCAATCCTGTCATTGGTTGCACCTGACTGCAGCAGAAAGTCATCACCTCTAAGCAACATCTGCCTCCTGAACAGCTACAAATGGCACTGACAGCAAAAATGGAGCATTTTTGTAGGACAGATGGTTGGCCTGTGCTGAGCACATCCTGCTAACCCTCTCCTGCTGTCCCCCTTAGAAACTCTTAAACCTGTAGTTCTTTCAGCACAGCCTTGCCTTTCCTTTAGCTGAAGTGTAAATCTTTGAGAAATGACTGAGGGATAACAGGAAACAGTCTTTGTAACCAGTTGCCCCATTTCTATTGTTACATTTTCAAAAATGAATGAGAGGTGGGTTAAATGGACTTAAAATTCATAGAGCTTGGGGAGGGTTAAAAGCTAAAAATTTCTGAGATTACATTCTAGAAAAGGGATGCTATATTTAGGGATAAAAGTCCAGGTAGAGTGTCTAGCCTGTATAAATGATGATTTGTTGATAATGAAATGAAATAACCACAACTCAGACAAATATATGCCAACAATGCTGGGAATATCACCATTGATCTCAGAGCAAAGCTGTTAATTGTCTCTGTAGTGAGCCTGAGAGGAAAAAATCTATGCTTTAAAATACTTCAAATATACTTAACATGCAAATATATTAAAAGTTACACTTAAGATTTCTAAAGTACCTAAAATATATAGGCCTAAGTTTTCTGAAATCTCTGATTTCAGATGTCAAACTGTTGAAACTACGAAGTTGGAGCAGAACAAAAAGAGCTGATTTTCAAAGGTGTCATCTATTTTCTAGGCAATAATTCCCTTTAGGGCATGCAGGGGGTACCAGAAGTCATCAGGTGACAGCCTTTTGAAATGTTTTTGGGTACTGATGTCTCCTTGTGTCCTCTTTCAGCATCCACAATGGAGTAATAGCGGTGTTCCAGCGTAAGGGTCTCCCAGACCATGAACTCTACAACCTCAACGAAGGAGTCAGGTAAGAGACTCTACTCTGGCGGGTTGCTACTGGCAGCACTTGCACTGCAAAGCTCCTGCAGCATTATTAAGGTGTTTTTGTGGGTTTTTTTTCCCCCAGCGTTAGTTTGAGTCAGTTTTGCCTCAGTGAATCGCTGTTGCTGACGTGCGTCAACACCTCGCCGTGCTCTGAGAGCTGGGTTCCTCCTGCAGGGAGGGATCCAGCCCTGAGGAGGAGGGTTTATTTTTGTCTTGGTGTACTTGGTTTAAAACTGAGGAAGGGAAAAGCTGGACCCCTTTAGCGATGCAGCCCTGTTCCACTGCAGTGATGCTGCCGTTTCCATAGGCCAGGCCTGGCTCTGAGGTGCTTCCCTTCCATCCCTGGAGGAGGGAAAGCCTCCAAGCACTCAGTGGGACATGGCAAGGAAAAATGTGCTGGCTGGTGGTCCCTTGGATTTAGCTGCTCCTTCCTCATAGCCTGAATATGTGTAGAAGTTACAAAGGTGTCTTGTCAACATTGGTTAAGGTTCCTGTTTCCTTCTCATACTGTGATGGCACTGTTTGCAACTGAGTAAATGTACACCGAGAGATGTACAATGGGAAATTTTTCCCTTTTTTAAAGAAAAAAAAAAAGGTGCAAAAATCCTACCATTCAAGTTACTTCAGTTATAGTTGAAAAGTTTACCAAGAGATAAGGTGATATCTGGATTTACAGCACTTTCCTTTTTACTGCTTTTTTAGCACTTCTTATTGCTCCCCAAACCCTCTCTCACTGGCAAGGCAGCAGATTTTCTTTTAGAAATTTGTCCCAGTGCTTTGTAAAATAAATGGTGGAGAAGAATCTGCACTTACAAAAGACAGACAGCTTATTGCATTCCCTGAGTGTCTTCAGATAAGAGCCTCAGTTATTCCCTTTCCCTTACTGCTCAATCTGGGCACTGGAGTCTGACAAAATCTCCAAAATATCCAGATATTCTGGGTTTATCTGTCCCAGTCTGGGGTAGCTGGCCTTTAATTGTGGGAATACCTTCAGAGAAGTCCAAACAAATGGCACTGGGCCTGTGTTTGCTCTTTTTCCCTCTCTTTGTCTAAAAGAAACTTGCTCAGTTATTTCTTACTTCTCTGGGGAGAAAATGACATCCGAAGAATAGCTTCTCTAGGATGGCTGTCAGTTAGCCTGATCCATCAATCATGCTGAGGTAGTTATTGGAATAATGGTTAATCATCATTATTGTAAGTGCAGTTAGGATTCCTCAGCTTCATCTGAATGACAAAAAAACCGGTGGTTCAGGGCTGAGATTTCCTGGCCCAGTGCATTTGCCTTAATGTGCTCATCTGCTGGTGGGGGACAAAGAGGAAGAATTGTCTGCTGCTGTGACAGAGACATCTTGTATGAAACAACAAATAGAAGATAGATAGAACTGGGCCCAAATTTTGCTTGAATTTACCTGGATATAAACCCTGCACCATACAAAACACTGGTGTTGAATTTATTGCAATACCCCATGCAGCTGAAGAGGTAGCTGACTACAAATAGACTGATTTTTAGGGTTTTTTTCACATATCCAGCCACAGCCTCTTTCCAGAAGCTGCTGCACTTGTGCTGTGCACTTCATTTTACTGCTGACCACAACCTAAAGTGTTTTAGGATCTCCTGACTGGTTGCAACCAAAGCCCTTTTGCCTCTCTTTAAGTTCAGCTCAAAACCGAGTTAAGAAATTTCATATCTGACACATGCAAAAAATACCTGTCCTACTGTTACTTATTTCAAAATAGCTTTCTTTGGGTTCATGGTATTATTGAGTGCAAAAATATCTGATTCATTAATAAGACCTCAGAAGTGGAACAAGTGTATACCTGCCTTATGATAGCTTTAGGTGCATTTTCCCTACAACTACCTAATGAAAAAAACACACAGCCATTATTTTCCACTGGGCAGCATTCAGGTAAATGGTTAATATTAGCTAGTTACTTTTTCTGACAGTTACAGGCTAGTAAAAAATGTTATTTTATTTTGCCACTGTAATATGGCAGATTCTGGAATACTTTTCATAATAAACGCCTGAATGTCCAAGTGGACTCACAGCCTGAGTGTAAATATTTGAACAACATTGGCTCACCATTGTTTTGACTAAGAAAGTCACATATATTCAGTTATGGCATAGGTGCAAATAAATACATAAAACTTCCTTTTCTGAGCACACATCTCAAGGCTTTGAACCCTGATGATTTAAGAAAACATCAGTGGGTACAGATCTGTACAGTACCACTTACTTCTCTTCTAGATTTGGCTCATAGGAGCTGCCACTTGTTTATACCTTTTGACAGTATTCTTGCATTCCTCTGGTGGTAGAAAGTGGCCTTAAATGTGGAGTTTCAGAGCACTCAGAATCCCTATTGCCAATAAAACCAGTGTGGGATTTGAGTCTCTCTCACACTGCTGTAACTTTTGATCCAAAAGTCAGGCAGTAAATATCTACATTCATATATGTACTGTTTAGTTTTCCCTTGGTGCAAGTGTGTGATACTTGTAAACCAATAGTGGTCCTTTTTTATATCATGTACCATTTCAAAGTGTTTATTTTGACCACTTGTAAAGCAAGGAAGAAAAGGAAGGAAAGGGAAATGCAGTGGAAGCAGGATGTCCTGTATTAAAGCTAATACATATTTATAGCTGCCTCTTTTCTGAGTTTCAGGATACTGATTTGATGCAAACAAAGCACATTTTAGTGGCATTTCCTCTTTAGCAGCAAGAGTTCAAACCCAGTCAAATCACTTGTTTCCATGTGCTTCATTTAACTTTATTTAATAGTTACTGTACAGTGTTACGCTGTCCACTCTCAGTAATGTTGCAGGAGTTAATTTCAAAATGAAACTAAGCAGCAGCAGGAAGAAAAATAGTCATGAGCTATTTTAGCATGTTTTATATGAATTTATATTTTCATCCTAATTTATCAAGTCATTAGATTTTCATCTTAATTTATTAAGTCATTAGATAGGCAATGAAGACCTGATGCCAATGACAGACAAGTTTCATAAGAGTGGCTTAAAAATTAGATGTACTTGAAATGAGACCTGCAGTCTGGTCAGGGACCTCTTTCAGGTTTAGTCATATTTTCACCTGGATTTCACCATGATGTCCACATGTCTAAGGTTGGTCAGTAACTGGAATTATCCAGGATCTGACAGTCTGGCTGATTCCTGTTAAAGGAAACGAAGCAAGGGTGAAAAAGAAATCACAAGCAATGTCTTGAATCCAGTTTTGTTGTGGATCCCTTTTAAATGAAGATGTACAAAGAACGTCAAACACCAGTGTTCTGATCTGGCCTCGCTGCTTCACTAGGAATTAATTAAGTAGCTTGAAGTACCTGTATTATTAGGGATTCAAAAAGCAAGATGCATTAATTGTGCTTTCAGTTCTCCTGCCCTGTAGACAGAGATGTTGTGTGGCCATGGTGCTGCTTGGTGTGTCCAGTGCATGTAATTAAATGGGTTGTTTAGTCCATTCACAGCTGAAAAAGTGGAAATGTGGTGGGGTTTTGTTTTATCTGTATATCTATTTGGTTTATGTCTACTTATTGCTGGTTAAGTGGAACTTTTTTTTTTTTTATTATTTCCTGCCCTAAATGCCAGGAATTATCAGTAGACCCTAAAATATGAAAAGGGAAGGTATTTGCAAGACTGTGTTCAAGACAGTGAGGAATCCAGGTGGAGCTGCCAGCTTGAGGAGAGGGTAGGAAGTTAAGCAAATGTCAGAATCGAGTATCAGTGTTTTTTTGAAACAGTGGCATGAAGAGAGGCCTGGGAATAAATTCTCTCTTACAGGAGAACTCAAAACTGCAACTTCCCATGCCAAGGGGTTTGGCAGTCCAATGGCTCTTCATGGCAATGAGAGACCTGTGGGTAAAGCCTGAGCGGGGTTTTAGAATTCTTGTCTGTAGATAGTTTGTCTGAATTAATCAAGTTTCTAGCTGAAAAGGATTTTGATGCCTCTTAAGCATCTCAAAACCCCTCTTCCTTATGTTTATTTTTTTCTTTCATTTCTGCCTGGAGTGTTTCCAGAGGGTGCTGTGAGGTCAGTGTGGACATGTGCTTAAGGATAAATAAATCAGATACTCTATTTCAGCTTCCTTAAAGTCTGAGCTGCTCCTCTTTGCCCTGAACTTTCAGGAGTTCTCGAGAGGCTATGCCAAAGCATCTGTTGTAAAAACATCAGAACCAACTCCTGTAAACTTTTGTGGAATACAGGAACAGGATGTCTCTTTGCTTACTAGTAAAATAATTTGATTAATGAGTTATTTGCCAGTTAAAGACATAACATGAAGAGATAGATGACAAGCTACTGATGATAGAATTTCATTACTACCCTAATTCCAGTGGGTGTTCAGCTTTTAAATCAAATTTGACCTCATTTCTTCATGGGACCTGAGGTGGTTTTCAAAAGTGTTCCAGGCCAGATTTGCACATATTCAGAAATCTCAGCTGGGGCTGCATTTCTGTAAGGTCTGAGCTGTCATTTATGTATTTAAGTAGTGACCTGGCTGCAGAGAACTAACATGTGAGACTTAAATAACATACAGCTTTTTAGCAATGTAGTGAGTTGGACTGGATTAAATTCAGTTTCTGGATTTGAGGGTTGTTTATGGGATTTTTTTTTCAGCATGTGAGTTTTGTTTGCTCTCCAAAGTTGATTTGTAGGTTTGAATGTGGAGGAATCATGAAAGGCAGAGCTAAACATTCAGTTCCTACCTACTTTTTCCCTGAAACCATGTAAAACTTAAACTGTTGAGTCTCCTGAGTGGAAAATTGTGGCCCTTTCAATGAAAACTGGCCAAGTTTCACACCAGCAACAGAACACACAGAGTATCATCCTGCTTGGGGTTTCTCTCCAAATATTTTTTCACAGCTCCATTTTTTACCCCTATGCAGGGCAGGGATGATTTGGCAGTTTTAAGGTGACAGGCAAGTCACATGCTCAGTTTTTGGCTCAGCCCCACAGATGGTCAGAGATCACCAGGAGTTCTCCCGTGTCACCAGCCACCACTGAAGCCCTGGCACTGCAGGGGAACAATTTGAGCATTTTTAAAAGGATTGGATGTAGGATGGAAAGCATCCTCTTTTCATCAAATCTTAAGTTTCTTTTCATAGATATCTATGCAACTGAGCCATCCAAAACTGCAGCAGATATTTTTCAACACCCAGAAAGGCTGGTTGGGAGTCTTGGTATTTGCTGACCCTGTTTTACCCTTTTTGTAGTTAGTCATTATTGACAGGCTCTGTGCTCATACAAAAATATTTTGCCGTTAATGACTTCCCCTCTCTCGTGCACTGCACAGCTGATCACAGATTCTTTTCTTACTCTTTTTCAATACAGGCAATTACTGAAAACAGAACTGGGATCCTTTTTCACTGAATATCTGCAGGTAGGCACGTGCTTTCTTTATTTAAATCCATTTTATTTACATGCTACTGAGCAAAATCATGTCACTCTAAATGCTGATCTGGAGACCCTTGAAACCATTCAGAGATGTGCACTGGCTTCTCTGAGTTTTTGTCATTTATGGCTTAATAAGGTTTGGATTTTATATATATTTATATAATTAGATAGTGAAAGCCTGACCTGTCCCTGTGTTTCGGTATGACATTTGCTGTCTTTCAGTAGATTTCACACATTTTCTTTTTTAACTTAAATTTCAAGTTCCTGAGTAAATCAGTGAAGTTCATTGTAGTATAGTTGCTAGGAAAGACATTTAGCAGTAAGTACCACTGTCTGTTGAAGCAGTATTCTATTTGCCTCTCTAAGACAGAGTCCATGTTTTGTGGGTCAGCCATTTGAAGTTTGAGAAGCACTTTGTACTGCACAAAATACAAGCTTTGTCCTGAAAACATCACTATTTGACAAGTGTCCCAAATTATTTAGGAAAGATGGACACAGGAGGAGCCCTTTGATGATTGATCATTAAAATAAAAGATCCCCCTTATTGTCAAAAGTTAGGAATGAACAAAATGTGAAATGTGATGGCTGTAGGGAAGTGCAGCATTGAGTAAAGGTAGTCTGTATTTCATTTACAGAATCAGCTGCTCACAAAAGGAATGGTGATCCTAAGGGACAAGATCCGGTTTTATGAAGGTAACTTGGATTTTGAGCTGTGTCTGTCATGGAAGCGTTAGCAAATGAATTCTGGAGGCAGTGGGATGCTTTCCATTATCTTCCTGGGACTATGGATTAGCCTTTACCACTCCATTCCTGCAGCCTGTTGTGTCCTGCCTCATTGTTCTTTGTTCTTGAGCTTTCATCAAGGGAGGTGATTGCCTAGAGCAGCACCCAGGGGGTAAAGGAAGGATTGCCTCCAGCATGGACACCTCCTTCAGTTATAGCCTGCTGAACATTCAGGAAAAGGGGAAAAATAGACTGAGATCTCTTAGGAAACCAAAAAATGAGCAGGAAGATCCCAGAGGTCTACACCTTCTGGAGGTGTCACCTTATGGAAGGATAAACCTCCACCTGACGTGTTGTTTTACAGTCACCTGTATTGTGTGTCCTGTGCTATGAAATGGCATTTAGATGTGCTGTTAAATATGCCATTTTGTCCCAGGTGTGGGCATGCAGGGTGTGCCAGGGGAGGCTTAGATCTGATATCAGGAAAAATCTCTTCACCAAAAGGGTTGTTCAGGCACTGGAACAGGCTGCCCAGGGAAGTGGTTGAGTCACCAGCCCTGGAGCTGGAGGGATTTAAAAGCTGTGGATGTGGCACTTGGGATGGTTTCCTGGTGGCCTTGGCAGTGCTGGGGGAATAGCTGGACTTAATGATCTTAAAGGCCTTTTCCAACCTCAGTGATTCTCTGATTTTGCGCATCATCAGGTGTGAAATGGTTTGGGAGTATCTTCAGGAATTATTGCCCATGTAAACAGTCGTAAGATCTTTGGGAAGTTAAGTTCAATTTTAAATAAATGCATCTTTCCTTTTTCAAAGCTGCAGTCATAATATCACTTAGTTTAAATTAACTGTTCAAGCAGGAGCTTGGAGACAACCATTTCCATTAGTCTCAGCTGTCTGTAAATCCTGGCTGTGACCTTTCATTACCAACAGTGCCACTGATCAGATTAAGATGGTGCTATGGGACCCAGCTTTCCTGATGAAAAGACAATAGCCCCGAGCACCACTAAAAGAGAACCAATTTCACATTAAAAACCCCAGAACCCACAAAAAGAGTACTGAAACTCTTTAAGCTGAACACCAGATTCCTCAGTTGTGTAAAATAACAGCTTGGAGAGCACAAAGGGAGCCGTAAGGAGCTCGAGGCCTTCACAGCTGCTTTGTAAATCACAAAGAAAGTTGGGTTTTAAGTATCAAATCAGTAAATGAGAGACCTAGCAAGGTCCAACACTATTTTTTTCTGATTTTACCAGCTTGAAAATCAAAAATACTGTACCTGATGTTTGAGATCAAAGCTGAGATGAAAACCTGAAATGCGAGAGGACTTAAGGGCCTGCAAATATAGGAGCATGTTTAGGAAATACAAAATTTTAGCAAACTGTTGGCTTTAAGCTTATTTTGTTTTCTTGATTTAGTGCGTCGTTTTGTGGTTGCCCCCTTAAAATATGGTCAGAAATTCTGGTAAGGTGGGGATTACACAGGGACATCTTCCACTAGCCCTGTCCAACCTGGCCTTGGACACTTCCAGTGATGGGGCAGCCACAGCTTCTCTGGGCAACCTGTGCCAGGGTCTCCCCACGCTCACAGGGAAGGATTTCTTCCTAATACCTAATTATTTATTCTTACATTTCTTTTAGGAGCTTCAGTTAACTTTAAGAAGCCCTGTGAAAAGCACTGCACGCATTTTTTATGTCATACAATATTGATTATATTGTGCTTCATTAAAATGAGCATTTAGAGTAACCCAGTTTCCTGGAATCCAGCAAATGCTTATCGTAAATGTAGGGATCTTTGCCTGATAGTAAAAAAAAGATGTATCCTTGAAGGGACATGTAAGTCCTGTTCCTTCATGTGAAATCATCGACAAACCATAGGAATTCTTCCACAGTCCTCAGTAAAAGGCCTGCCCTGCCTAAGGCATTTAACTGTGCAGCCCTGCTGAGCTGCTGTACAGAAATCCATCACTTCACAAAACAAGCTGCCCACAAGGTGGGATAAGTGTGTGACAGTAAAGGCATGTTTTCCTCACCTGGGTGATTTGACTTCCTACAGTTCTAGCAGCAAGATTTGAAAAGGACCAGATTTGTAAGGGCTTGGTTTCTACTTCAGCTCAACTTGTGGGCAACTAACATGTTTAACTCTTTAAAACTCTGCCCTGGAGGCGTGGAGTGGTCGGGCTTCTCCTTCACGATCAGATTTGTATCTTGGAAACACTTCAGTGTTTCAGGCACTGGCATTTGGGTGTTAAAATGCAAAGGTTTTGTCGTGGTTTAATCCCAACCAACAGCTCAGCCCCACATGGATGCTCTCCCACTCCCCCTGATGGGATGGAGGAGATGGAAGAGTAAAAGTGAGAAAGTTTATGGGTTGAAGTAAAGAGAGTTGAATAGAGAAAGCAAATATTATGCATGCAAGCAAAGCAAAACAAGGAATTCCTTCCCCACTTCCCATGGTTGGTCAGCGGTTCAGCATCTCTGGGAGAGCAGGGCCCCATCACGCACAGCACTGACTTGGGAAGACAAATACCATCACTCCAAACATTCCCCTTCCTCCTTCTCCCCCAGCTCCATGTGATGAGCATGACCCCACATGGTCTGGGATGTTCCTGTGGCCAGCTGGGATCAGCTGTCCTGGCTGTGTCCCCTCCCAGCTCCTCGTGCCCCCCAGCCCCTCGCTGGTGGGGTGGGTGGGGAGCAGAAAGGACCTTGGCTCTGTGCAGGCCCTGCTCAGCAATAACTAAAACATCCCTGTGCTGGCAGCACTGCTCCAGCACAAATCCAAAGCACAGCCCCTACCAGCTACTGGGAAGAAAATTGCCTTAGCCCAGCCAAAACCAGCACAGGTAGTTATTATTATTATTATTATTATTACTGCTACAGCTCCCAGGAAATTTTGGACTTGGTTCCATGCTGTGTTTCATTAGAACTATTGGAAGAGAAGTTTTCTGAAAGTTTTAAAAACCTGAAACAGAGAACACCCCCTTCAGTGCTGCACATGAGTGTGTTGGACAGAGAGAACTCCTGCCTGGTGGTGCAGAAATTGAGGACCTTGGCGTGCTGCACAAACCAGCAGCTGCTGTACAGCATGGTGATCCACATTTGTCACTGAAAGCACTTAAAGTCAGCAGCCCAGGAATAATTCAGGAGTTGCAGATGGGCCAGAGCTGATGCTGTTCGTCATGTGCTTAAAAATGCAGGGGGATCAAGTATCCCATAATCAAGATTGGCACTTGGCTAACTTTGCAGTTAGCACTGGAGGTGCTTTCATGCATAGTTGCTTTGTGATATGTGTGTAATTCTGGGCAAAATGTTCCCTGGCTGAGGCCCAGAGTAATGCTCTAATACAAAACTTAAGAATAGTATCTGATTCTGACACCAATAGTAATATTGACTGATTGCTATTGAATTTGCTTTCCTGATAAGTCATATTGTCTCATCTGAAAGCCTCATAATCATTGGTGTGTTCATCTCCGTGGTGCTGATGGAGGTGCAGGGGCATTGCTCTCCCTTCACCGTTGGTTTTGAGGCACAGGGATGACTAAAGAGCTTGTCCAAAGTCACAAAGCCATTTTGGGGAGCAGGGATTTGAAGCCAGCATCCAGCTGTCGAGCCAGGTTTCCTCTCTGTGGATCTGGGCTCCTGCATTTGCCTCTGTGTTTTACAAAATACTCTGTGAGGAACCCACTGTCCAGACTGGTTGTACAACCTGGCCAGAGCTTCTCCAGCCTCCCCTGGGATGCCAAGTGGCTGCAGCTGGGGGAGGAATGGACAAAAGGGTGGCCTGGCTGTGAGTTCCTTGGGGAGCTCAGGGTTCTGGCAGTGTCCTTTGAGAGTTAGAGCAAAAATTAGAGCCCTAAAACACCACTGTCTTTACCCATAGAACCCAGGTGAGGTTTTCTGTGTAAGTGGAGATATGGGGAAGCAAAGGGATCAGTTTGAGGGGACACTTTGTGGGGCATCTCCACAGAGTGTGGTTTGCTCTGCTGCCTTGCAGCTTGAAGGGCAGAGGGAGCGTGCTGGGATAGATTCTTCTGCAGAAAACCTTCCCTGTTTAATCTGCTCTGTCCTTCTCCTCCTACTCTCCTGCACTGGCTTGTCCAGTGGATACTACTACAAGAGGAGGAGGTAGCCTGGGCTTTTACTCTTTGTTCTTCTCAGGGTTTTCCTGACTAGTCTCATAGTCTCCGAGTTTATTAAGAGCATTTTATGTGTCACCTTAAAAAGACACAAATACTGAAGAATCTGATACACCAAAAGGGGTACTAATTTCATACTGCTGCTAATAGCTGCTACGTGATTCATCTCAGTGTTTAATAGGAGATTCACATTGTTTCCTACATGTTTTACTCTTTGCAGTGAGCTGGTTACAACCTAAACACTTCACAAGTTTGTTTTGTGTTTTTGCAGGGCAGAAACTATTGGATACCTTAGCTGAAACCTGGGATTTTTTCTTCAGCGATGTCCTGCCCATGCTTCAGGCTATTTTCTATCCTGTGCAGGTGAAAAATTACTCTGTTACTATAGAATCTTGAAAAACTGGAAAAAGCAACTTTACTGGTTCATCGGCAGATTGATGCAATCCTTCATTCTCTCTCCTTGGGCCAACGTCCCAGTGCAGCTGTTCTGTGTAGTCATGTCATGCAAATAAGTTCCTTATGCAAATGGGTTTGAAGTGCTTGGGTGGAAAACATGAAGGGGAACTTCACAAACAAAAGTGGAGTGCAGGGAGGCTGGTTAGTCCTTCTGCCAATTCACACCAGAAGTGAAAAAAAGGTTGTGACTGATAAACTGAAATACGCACACAGTGAAGTAAGTGGAGCGGTGTTGACTTAAATATATGCATTTCCTCCTGTAGTGAATTTGTTTCCATTTTTGAAAAGTAATTATATATTATATATTCTAATTTAGTGGTGGCCACAAAGTGTTTTTTATCACTGAGGTCCCAAGGAAATCTGTACCAGAGAGGTACAAGAGACCTTCTGGGGCTGCTCACAGATGCCTTCAGATTTTAGTGGGAGGTTGGTGCCTGAACATATTTGGGGAAACTTCAGAAACCTTCTCCCATTTTTCCAAGTGAACTTTGTGCCTAAAATGATTGCCCAAATATTAACAATATTACCATTTGCATCTGCAGGTAGTGACATATGTGACATCTAAATTCAGTGGAAAAGCTGCAACTTCACACAGAATTTGATTCTGAAAGGGAAGAGCTCAAAAAACATAGAGGGGCTGCTTCACTCATAGACTTGTGGCTTACCAGTAGAAACTTCAAAACAATAGAAATAAGATGGTTTTATTAAAAGCATAGTAAAACACAAAGGGAGGTTTTTCTAAGTGCCCCATAATTTAAATCCAAGTTATTTGGACACCTGGAGATATAAGTAGGCTCTCAGCCTGGTTTTCCAAAGCACTTGACTAAATTAGAACTCGGTTTTTGAAAACTGCACCAAACACCCCTTTTCTATGATGTGTTTCTGAGGCCTTTGAAAATATTTTAGTAAGATGAGTCTCCTCCCCTATCAGATGGAAATAATTGCTTGAATTTTGAAAGGAACCTTGAGGGGTTTAAGAGCCCTAAGTCCCATGTAAATTCAAGTAGATCTAGTTGCTGATGTCCTGAGGTTACTTCCCAAAGCCCAAGTGGTGCTTATGTGCTCTTCTAAATCCTGTTCATGAGCAACTGAAGCAGGTTTGGGGTCTTCTCTACTTCACTATAAATATTAACAAAGTGAAAAGAAATGGGTGGGGTTTAGTTAGGCTTCTTTAGTCCAGACTTAGGCGAGTCAACACTATCTGAATACCAGACCTTCCAGAAGTGTTAATATTTGTCTCACAGGTCTCATAACAGCAGGCAAAAATACGTGTACAGCCATACATACCCAAGGAAAAACCCCTAATGCCAGCAGGAGGAACAGTGTTACAACTCCCCATAAGGCAGGAGCTGTTAATCTCTGCAGGCAGAGGTGGTGTTGCATTCTTTTGTGTTCTTCAGCTGGGAGTTTCTTCAATGACATGGCGATGTTGAACTGCAAAAAGATGTCTTTGAAAATGCACTATGGAACTTCAGCTCTGCTCCTGCCTTGTAGTGAAGTCTCTCAAACTGGAGAGAAAAGGGGACCCACAGGTGGGGACTGAGTCAGGATTCCAACCATAAGTTGAAGACAGTAACCAGCCAATACTCAAAATCTTACGAAATAATGGAAATTCAACCAATATGCCACCCTTTTAATTTTTTTTTTTTTAAACATATAATACATTCCATAAATGACATACTGTTAAGTACAAAATATTAATGTATACATGAATATATATAAAATTCAGTGCTCACCCCAGCCCTTCATCTGCACACACAGTCAGACTCAGTCATTGTCCGTAGCCTTCACTGCTGCCAAATCAAATTGACTGTGCAGACTCGTGGGCTGCTCCCTGGCCTTTTTTATGTTTCTTTGGCTTTCCATTTAGGTTTGCCATTCCTGTAATCCCTCAGAAGTGGAGGAAGGAGTTTTGACAGTGGATTTTGAAACTTGTTTTCACACTGCCCGTGATGGGTCTTGCTCTGTTTGTGTTTCCCAGGGGAAGGAGCCCTCGGTCCGGCAGCTGGCTCTGCTGCACTTCAGGAATATCATTACCCTCAACATAAAGCTGGAAGATGCATTATCCCGGTCCAGAGCCAGAGTTCCACCCTCTATTATTCAGATGCTGTTAATACTCCAGGTAAATTGGTTACTTTTCTCAGGTTGGTTTTTTTTTTTTTCTCTCTCTTTTTGTGCTGTGTTGCTGCAGTCTTTGCTCATTCATTGAAAACTCCTGACCCAGAATTCCAGAGCAATTAACTGTGGTCCTACTATCCAAAAGCCTTGAGATCCAGAGGGTCTGAGAGCACAGACTTGTTTTGATACCGTGGGCCTTGAAACATCAAGTTTTGCAAACAGAATCAGTGTGTGTGGTAATGACAGGATTTCCATTAAATGCTGTGTTTTGCTGCATCGGCAGTTCAGGATATGAAGCTTCACATCTGGAGCAGGCAGCAAAGTGAATATGCAATTTAGTCATGGTCATATTTGGTCACTGGAACCAAATTCTATAAAAGCTGGCGATACAAAGACTTTAAGACCAGATACTGCTATTTGCCTTCAGTGTTAGGTTATTTTTTTTAGTAGTAATGAGGAGAAACAAAATGAGGAATTCCAGGCAAAGATTTTTTTACTTGCTTAACTCAAGTAAAGCACGAGCGTGTGATGAAGAGAAGGGGGATGAGGCAGAAGGGAGGCAGAGAACCAAGAGTGGATTCTTAGGGGTTGAGGAAACTGGAATTTTCCTGGCTTGTGATTTTTTTTTCTTTTTTTTATAAATATGTTTCTTTGCTGCTCACAGTATGGATTAGTTCTGTGTTGAAGTTGTTTTGAAGTGCAGGATAATCTAATCAGGCCAGTGATGAAAATGGAGGCAAGGAGTAAGATTCTCTCTGCTGGGTCAAGAAATGGGATTTCACCCCTGTTATCTCAGTGTCCATTTGTTGGAGTGTATAATGGTGTGTTCAACCTGGTTTTCCCATTTTGCCTGTTGAGGGTAAAGGCCAAATCTATTTTCATTGCAAAGCTGTTGATGGAAATCAATAACCAAGTGAGAGGGAGTTTGCCCCTGGCTGTTTATTTCTGCATATGTTACCTCTGCTTGTGTGGTGGGGTTGGTGAAAGTCCTTTCTTGGAAATAGCTCTGCCAAACTGGTGGTTTAAAATCTAATGGAAATTGTGGGAAAAGGTCAGAAGAAGATCTGGGAATTAGCTGTTTACATGCTTAGCAGTGTTAGTCAGTAATCGGATTTCAGAACAAAGGCTTTTTTCCAGACTCAAATACCACATCAAACAAAAGCAAATTTTATACATTTGTGACATAATAATGGAATTTTCTTGATTTAGTTTAATTCCATGCGTTAATAGGGCTGGAAGGGACATAACAGTTCAGCTGTCCAGTGAGCATATGGTGGCCTTGTGTGCTTGTATTTCGCAGACTGAGAGATGATGCCTTGATGTGGATGTTGTCTAATCCCTGTTTGTGTCCACCATGAATATCTCTTCCCTAACAAGCTTGGTGACGCTGGAGTGGACTCCCATGGCTAGAAGATGAGGCTAGTGATGGACCAAGTGTTGAATTAGTGCCAAGATTCCCTGTTCCTGTCCCTGTGCAGCTCTGTAATGAAGGAGTAGGTCAAGTTCTTTGGGGCAGCAGTTGTGATGTCCCAGGCTGGCAAAGGCCCACTCTGCCATGTTAGACTGGATTAAAGTGGCACAGATTTAGTAAATGATGCATCTGGCATTATGTTTTAGCTGGTCATGGTGTAGGGGAAGAGCTCTGTCAGTTTGTCAGGAAAAGAGGTGAGGGATTTCAGTGACCTCTGGGAAGTTCCTGACTGACTTATTGCAAGGTTCTCTGGGCTCTGGCAGGGAGAATAAAATAATCCCTGCCAAAGACCTTCTGAATAAAAGGGCCTGAAATTAAGTCGCACCCCTTACTCTGTTGTTTGAGGGACTGTTTTGCCTTCTTTGCATCAAATCTTTTTTCCTGTCCACAGTGAGCAATTTGCTGGAGTTCCATGCCAACCATGTATGGAACACCTTGCTGGCACCCAGACCAGACCTCTGGCACACATGAGAGAGGATGTACTTTGAGACAGATGGGGTCATCAACCTGACACAGGTCTCACAGTTTGTCCAGGGAGACAAACACCTCAATTTCTTTGTGTTTAAGACATCAGACTTCTTAAAAAAAAAAAAAAAAAAGCCTCACAGAAGGAAATTGTATCTTCCTATCTCTCTTTCTGAAGGACAGAAGAACCTTCATCTCTGGGATAAAGCTGTTATGAGTATTATAATAGCAGCTTGTACATCTGAAGCTTTGTTGGAAGATACTCTCCTTTGAGCAGAGCAGAAATCAGACCTTGGGTTAATTATTATACTTGGGTTCTTCAGTCTCACCAGTGCTATAACCTGGTCTAATGACAAACCAGCAATCTGTCAGGAAAGAGGCAGTCACCAGAACTGGGGAGAGGAGGGAGATTCCTGTGCTATTAAGGTCAGTGGCAGTTTTATCACAGTTTGGAAGAAGGGCCTTATACCACTCAAACTGTGAGTTGCCTGCACAGCGTGACCCAGTTACGAAGCACAAACTGAAATGTTAATCCTTTGTGGCTGCTCACAGGCAGCATAAGCTGAAGTGCCTCCAGGATGCTCCTCTTGCAGTTGCCGGGCCTTCAAGAGCAGAGTCGTGACGGAGGGAAGTAAAAGAACTAAAACTGCTTTTGAGCACTGAGCGATGCACAAGAGCTCACGAGACTGCAGTGAGTTGTCAGTCTCACCCTGATGACCTTGCACTTCGGGTGAAATTAGGGAGCTGGAGGGAGAGGGACAAACAGGAGAAAAGTTTAGAAGAGAACTTTCTCCTTTGTGCTCTGTGAACCAAAGAGAGCAAAACTACCACCAGAGGATAAACAATCTGACTTATTCCCAAGGCGTGTTGTCAGAGGTTACCTTTGCCACTGAAACTGGAACATCCTATCTCCAGGTATCTCTCCTGAGGTCTGAGAAATTTGGAAGAGAGGAACTAAAAAGTGTTTATCTGCATCTTCCAGTTAGCATCAGGATTATCTGAGTTTATAGGATCTCTCTGGGTGACCTGGGGTATTCAAAAAGCCGAGAAGAACACAACACAGTATCTCTTGTGCTGAGGGATGAAAAAAGAGTATCTCATGCTGAGGGATGAGGCCTCACTAAACATAAGCTCTGAAGAGAAAAATAAAACCTGTGGTTTCCTTTTTGGCTCTCTGAGCTTCATTTGAACTCCCTTGCCCGTTGTCTTTGTCTGTAAAGGAAGACAAAATAAATACATAAAAGTGCCCAGTGGGACCTATTTGTTATCTCTGGAAAGTTCCTTGCACTTTAAAGGGGGTAGAAAAAGTACGTTGCAAGATCTGAAAGCAAGATGCAAAGAGTGCTGTTTTTTTCATCTCAGCAGCCACACAGCAATCCAAAGGCAGCATAGTGGTTAAAAACAAAATAGCCTTTGCTATCACAAAGCTGCAGCCACAGATTTGCTGTAGCACTGCAGTGTTTGTCAACTGGAGTCAGTTGTTCATGGCCATAGGTTTTCAAATTTGGTGATTGCTTTTGAGGGCTTGTCCTACTAAGGTCTCTTTGACCTGAAGGCATAGTTTGAACAAAGTGGTCTGGATGTGAGGTTTCCACATGCTTTTAGTTTCTCTTTCCCTTTTTTATGTTCCCGTGGTTTAGAAGACACAAAAAGAAGAAACCAAGGTATTGCAGACCTTATTTAAATACAAATCACCATATCAAAAACCTGTGCTTCCCCTGGGTTGCGCATAAATTTGTCTCCTTCCTTCCTTCCTGGTGAAGGGGTGACTTGTCTGTGTTTCCAGCAGCTCCACAGGCACACAAGGGAAGAAATCTTGCAGCTAGGACACTGCCTGTCACAAAGGGAAGAATCCTTTGCTGCTTTGTGTTGACATATGCAAAACTGAGAATCTGGCCCTCAGGTTTTACACTTTAGAGCATTTTGTAGATACATTTGCTTCTGTGCAATATTCTCTCTTACTGTGTCTTATTTATTGTCTCTATCAGCAAGTGTGGTTTGCAGTAATTAAATTGACAGAGGTTTGTTATCCTGGAGTGAATTTGTATTACTGGGATTTTTAGCAAGACACAGTATTTATTTGTTGGAGGAAAAAGATATTTTTAAAACAAAATATTGACCTTTTTGCCAGTGAGGAGTACTTGTCATATTTGATTTTGAGTTCCTTCATGTGGTCTTTATTACTGTGCCAGTTTTCTGGTGCTGGGAATCATGTCTGCAGGGAAGCAGCAAAAATGCTAGAACTGTTTCATCTGCATCTTGCCTCGGGCAGGTTGGGATGTGCTGTGTTAACGAGACAAGAAGCTGGGAACTGACCAGAGGGCTCAGAGCAGTGACAGCAGCAGTGACCTGACCTGGCCTTCACCACCACAGACACTGATAGACCTGCACTCATGGGGCCCTTCCTTGTAACTAAGGCCAGTGGAGGGCCATTGGCACGTGAAAATAACAGATTTCATTTTGAAATCGAGTACTCTCCAAAACGAGCTCTCAATATACTTGACACCACCATGTGTTAACCCTTCGGTAACCTTAAGCAGTGGGGAAACAGGGAAACAGCATAAAATGGTGTACTTCTCCTTTGTTATATGTGAACCTGCCTCATGAACACCATGGCACGGTGATTTAAGTGTGCATCTTGTCCCTCATCTTTAGCAGAAGGACAGTTCTTGGGAATAGGACTATAACCTTGTCCATACCAGTTAAATACGGTTGTTTTCCAAGGCAGTTTGCATTGTGCAGATTCCCTTTGGGTGTGTGGTCATAGTGCATTTTAAGAGTACCTTGTAATAAGTAAAGTGTCAGTTCTGTGCAGGATACCAGTTAGGTAATCAAGGGCATGGCTTCAGGTGGAGTTGGTCAGAATAATATAAAATGTCTCCTAGAATTTGCCTCTGTTAATAAACCTGGCCTATTTAAACCAGTGCAAGTTCATTGGTAGGCAAAGCCTTAATCCTTAAAATGCAGCAAAACCAGTAAAATTATTTGTAACTTGAATTGGTCCTTGCAGACCCTATAATTTTGTTGAGTAAGAGGGAGAAGGTTTTAACTAATTGCATTAATCTGTA